TATCATAAGATCATGCACACTCTGTAATATAACACATATCATACTTTTATATTTCAATCATCAGGCAACAAATTTCTCTTTTATCAGTTTACTAGTATCCATGGGGATTTATAGGGGGTCCCTGCTACACTTGAACCATTCACATTAATAACTTAATTACAGGGTTGTCCCCATACCCCGTCCGGTATGGGCGCCAAAATACATAAAGTCTCCATACCCCGTCCGATATGAGAGACCACGTTCCCGGTAGGGTTCTCTATGGACCCAGTCCGTTCACCATCTCCCAGGATATCTAGTTAGACTGTCGACATTATCCATTTATCAATTCACATACCTTTTTTCATTTTTCTTAATCTCAATTATCCAATCAAACATAAACACGTAAACTAGTAATGGACACCAAACAAGGCAACACAACATTGGGTTCACAATAATTCAAACCATAATAAATGAAACCGTGATTCATGTATACGAAATCATAGAATAAACACATCAAACACCATACTACATTCAAAACTGTAAAATAAATCGAACAACACCTGACCGAAAAATATATCAGATTCGGGCTCAATTAGCAATCTTAATTAATTATACATATCTATTAATTAATAAAATATCGTTTTATCATTTATTAAGCTTTAATGTCGTGATAGAAAATAGAGTGAGATATCCTTACTTGTTTCGGAGTCTGAAATCGGATTCTCACTGCGCCTACGGGTAGTCCCTAGATTTCCTGAATTTTTTTTATGGGAATTGAAACCCACTTCCAGTACTTGCACGTGTCTCGAAAGAACTCAAAATCAAACCCAGAGCCTACTCAAAATCTGTGTGTGATCAAATCTGGGTCATCCGCACGCATGAGATCTGGGCCGTCCGTGCGCACGGGAACAGATTTAGACCGTCCGATTGCGCGCACGCGGATTGTCCACGTTTCTCCGTCCCGCGTGGATTCCCGCGTCAGCGTCCCTGCCACGCGGCGTATCCTCGTATGCCGGGACTACTGACCGGGCTGCTGACGTGGCACAATTTTTTTAAATTACATTTTGACCCTCAATTTTCGATTTTCTTTTCAAAATACCTACAGAATCTAAATTTTTACTCATTTTTTCTAAAATTAATTTCAATTAAATCCCAAAAATAATTTTACCTCATTTTATCATTATTATTATTTTTATTTATATTAAATTAAATTAGAATATATAATTATTACAAATAAATTAATTATTAAAATGAAATAAAACTAAAATAATTATAATAAAAAAAATAATAAAAAGTTTGTGTGTTACAAACATAAACAACAAATAATTAAAAAAAAAAAGTTTCTCGATTAGATAAATCCATCAGAAAATTAAAGATATTAACTATTTATCTAATATTGAGAATATTTTTTTTGCAATTAAATTTATATATTCTATCTATATCTAATATATTATATGTATATACAATAACCACTTTTTGAAAAAATTTGAGAGATTGAAATTTTAATAAATATAAATAATTTTTTTTTATAGTAGTATATTAGGGAATGAACATGAATAACAAATAATTTTAAAAAAATTATTAATTAAAAAATAAAAAACTTTAACTATGAGTACCATAATTATAATAAATACAATTATAATAAAATAAAAATTTATTGTAAAATAATAAAAATTGAGTTTCTAAATAATTCTAAATAAATTAAGTCAATATATTTTTAGTTCTTCTAAAATTGATATGTCCTCATTCTTCTTGGGAGGGATTGGGGAAGAAGAACAAAAATAAATTTTTATTTTTTTAAATTTCTATTTATAAAAATAAAAATAATAAAATTTATATTATACAAGTATGTCACGTGCAATTATATAGCAATCATATAATACATATTAAGCAAAATAAATATATCGTATGACTACCTTATTTGTTATGTATATATAATTTTAACTATTTTAAATATTATTTATCGCAATAAATTAGAAAATATTTAAATACATATAA